AGACGATAAATTGCACGTGTAAATTCAATGTTTAGCTGTTAGAACAACGTATGTGCGTATGTTATTTTTAAAATATTAAAAGAATTATTAAAAACAATATTAATTACAAAAATAATCCGAGACTGTTCTGTTGTTTTGTTCAGTGTTGCGAAAACAACAAATACGATATACAAAATAATTTTTTCGGCCGTTGTGAATCTAAACAATGTTGACACACACAATATGCTACACGAAATAAAAAGTTACAATTAAAACACATAATCTGTGCAAATGTAAATAACCAGAAGTAACTGACAAGCATAAATATCCATTATTGAAATGGGAATTTTAAAAAATCCATCAAGTATCCAAGTTATAATCCAGTTAGTTTGAACAGGATATCATTGTTTAAATTACTACTACCACTAAAACAATTCTAAATATCACATAATAGAAAACAGACACAACTGTATATCTCAATGATAACCCAGAAGGCTTGAACAGAATATTGTTGGTTACAATTCCACCCAATAGCAACATTTGTATTGCATATTTTCCTCTGTAGCAATATCATCATCATCATCATATATCGGGTTCTTTGCAGAACGCCGCTCTCATCACAGTCTGCCTGAAAGAAACTCGATCTCTTGCCAGCTCTCCCACCTCATTTACTTTCATACTCAAGGAGTCACTTACATCCTGTGCCCATCTTCGTGTCGGTCGGCCCCTGCCCCTCCTTCCTGATACCATGTCTTCTGCTATAATTTTTTTCAAATCCGTTGTGGCACTTGATATGACCAAAATATTTCAGCTTTTGAAAAAGGATGCTGTTTATTAGCCAATCTTCCTTGATGTTCAGATCTTTTAAGATGTCGGTATTTCTCCTCTTCTTTGTCCAAGATATTCTGAGAATCTTTCTATAGCATTTCAGCTCAGAAGCCCCTATTCTCTTCCTTAAGGACTGAGATATAGTCCACAAAAGAGAATAGGGGCTTTTGAGCTGAAATGTAGCAATGTACTACAGCCAAATATGTCAGGCAGTTCATTACGCAGTATATTAATTGTGACTTCATTCATTCATTCATTCATTCAGTAGCATGTCCCTCGCGGAACCTCGCTGCCATAACAACCCTCCGGAAAACCTTCCTATCATGAGCAAGATGTCCTGCGTCTGATACACCCATCTGGAGATCATCTGCCACATCCTGCACCCATCTTCTCCTTGGCCTTCCTCTTCCTCTCTTCCCAGGCATATACCCCTCCATTATTGTTCTCTCTAGACCTCCATGACGTTTCAAGTGACCAAAATATTTCAATTTTCTTTGTTTTATTGTCTTTACTAGCCAACCCTCTTCAATATTCAGCTCTTGAAGTATGGATGCATTTGTTCTTTTCTTTACCCAAGATATTCTTAGAACCTGTCTGTAACATTTATATTCAAATGCATTTATGCGCTGTTCCGCTTGTTTAGTAAGTGTCCAGGTCTCACAGGCGTATGTTGCAATGGGAAAGATGCATGCTCTTAAAAATCTGACCTTTGTAATTCTATCTGTACAATTCCATAATTTATTCAGTTGTTTTAGTCTTTGAAGAGCAATTGATAGTCGCCGTTTAATTTCTTTCATTGTGTCACCATTGTTGGTAACCAGTGACCCAAGATATTCGAAATTTTCCACCACTTCCAATCTTTCCTCATTAACATATATTTCCTTCTCCATGGCAGTTTTGTTTGTATGCATTATCTTTGTTTTTGCTGTGTTAAGAAATAAGTTATGATTTTCACTATTTCTTTGGAGTGAGGTTAATAAGTTTTCTAAACCATTTTGTGATGTTGATAGTAATACTGTATCATCAGCATAACGAATTTCTGGTATTTCATGACCACCGATGTTTAGGGCATCATATTGTTCCTTGTTTATATCATCTCTTACATTTCTCATTATATTTTCGGCGTACAGGTTGAACAAATACGGTGACAGCACACATCCCTGACGGACTCCTTGCTTGATGCCAAACCAGTCTGATGTCTCTCCATCTATTCTGACTGCTGCTTGTTGGTCTTGATAGAGCATTTTAATGAGCTGCACTATATGTGATGGAAAGCCCATATTCCTCATGATTTCCCAAAGCTTCTGATGTTGTACACAGTCAAATGCTTTTGAATAATCCACAAAACATAAGAACAGATTTACATTAAATTCTCTACACTTCTCTATTATTAAACGCATGTTGAATATATGATCTCTTGTTCCTCTTCCCTGTCTAAATCCAGCCTGAGCTACATTAATCTCTTCTTCCATTTTCTTTTGCAGTCTTCTCATTATAATTTTTAGTAGAATTTTACTTGCATGACTGATCAGGGCAATAGTTCGATAGTTTGTACATAATTTCAGGTCACCCTTTTTTGGTATTGGAATGAAGATAGTTCTCTTCCAGTCTTTTGGCCAAATACCATATTTCCATATCTTTTCACATAATGCATGATAGATTTTTATGCTTTCTTCTCCTCCCGCTTTAATCAATTCAGCTGGTATCTCATCACATCCAGGTGATTTACCATTTTTCAGGCTCCTTATTGCCCATGAAATTTCATCTAATGAAGGTTCAGGTTCTGCCTCTACTGTTACTGGTTCATGTATATCATTCATATCCTCACTGTCATTCATATCATACATTCCGCTGCAGTATTCCTGCCATCTTCCTAGAATTTGTCTAGATTCTGTTAAAGTATTTCCCAACCTGTCACAAATAACATTTAACTGAGGTTGAAAATTTCTTGTCAATAACTTCATTTCCTTGAACATTTCGTAATCTCTTCCATTTTTGTGATGCTGCTCTATTTTAATACAGCAATCTTGTACATACTGATTTTTATCCTTTCTTGTGTACTTTCTTATTTCTCGTGTAAAAAATTTATACTTCATCCTACTATCATTGGTTTCTCCTTTCTTTTTCAGTTCTCTTCGTTGTTTTATTAGTTCTAACGTGTATGGTGTGATCCATGGTTTATGTTGCTTAGTCCTGGTGGGTATTAAGTCTTTAGCTGCTGTTATCAAGATATCCCTAGCTTGTACCGCCAGTTCATCAGGTGTCATTTCCTCTTGTACAGACATCAAGACCTCAAAACGGTTCTTCACTTCTACGTTGTATGCATCTGGTATTTTTGTGAGATCAAATCGAAATGGCCTTGGTCCTCGGGTAAGCTTTTTGAGTTTTAATTTTAGATCTGCTTCTAGTAACTGATGATCTGTATCGCAATCTGCACTTCGCAGGGTTTTTGCAGATGTTATGCTCGATCTCCATCTTCTTTGTATTAAAATGTAATCTATCTGATTTTTGGTAACACCGTCAGGGGATGTCCATGTGAAAAGCCTTCTAGGGTGTTGTTTATAAAGTGTGTTAGCTATTGTTAATTCATTTTCTATGCAAAATTCAATCAATTTTTTTCTCCTGTTTCATTTCTATTACCCAATCCAAATTTTCCTAAAACGTGTCTCTCATTTTCATCTCTGCCTGTACCTACTTTAGCATTAAAATCTCCCATTATTATTATTATATCATTCTGATTAATTTTATTTAATGTGTCTTGCAGTATGTCATAAAAATCTTCAATTTCGCCCTCCTCTGCTGTTGAAGTTGGTGCATATACCTGCATGAAAGTTATGTTTTTTGGACGGCCTTTAAGTCTGATAGTTAGGATTCTATCACTAACTGGATTATATCCCATAATAGCTTTTGCTGTTGTTTTATCTAAACAAAATGCCACTCCGCTCTGGCCTCTTACATCTCTACCAGAATATACGAAAAAGCTTCCATATTCATTGATAAAATGTCCCTTGCCACTCCAACGATGTTCACAAATTCCTAAGATCTGAATATTTAATCTTTCAATCTCATCACATACTACTTTAAGCTTTCCTTCATACAGACTTCTCACATTCCACGTTCCTATTCGCATTCTGTTTCTTAGTCTGACACAGTGGATTTCCTTGGTAACACAGTCAGGATTAACTCCGTCATCACGATTACTAGTACCACCCCTGTATCACACTCTTCCCCAGTGTTATCTGATCTGCCTGGCCTGGGGGTCTCGCCACCAGATCTCTTCTGTGTTATGTTTTCTTTCATGATTGTTATGGGTTCTTGGCAAAATTTGCAGAAGGTAGTTTGCCGTTGCTTTCCTCCTGAGCAGTGACTATACTAGTCGGTGGCCATAGCCATTGTCTCTACTGATGAGATCATCTGCCTATCGCCGCAGAGTGCAGACCATAACCAACAATACCTGTCGGCTGCTCTTACACTCCATCCACCACCTGCTTCCATGGCTTCACGTAACCCTGATTGGGGGGCTAAACGGGTACTCCACCTTGCCCAAGGGTGTCCCGTAGACTAGCGGAGGAAAGGAGGCGTCTTACTTCTCCTTTGATAGGGGATACCCCTACCCCGCTAACCTTGTGACTTCATTACCTAATACTAAATAGTAGACACAAATTGTTCTTTATATGTCATTAAAAAGAAACTTTGTGTTGTCTCCACAATGGAGGCTGGCCACAGTGGATATGTGTTTCCACAACTGCTCTTTGGATATTTGTGGTTATTTTTATTTCATTAAGTAGACCAGACTTTTAGACATTTTAAGTTTTTTTTTTTTACTTCCTATAAAATTACCTAATTTTGTGTGTGTAATTTCTCCACTGTATTCTCATTATTCTTCAATAAAACAGTTCTTACTTAAGTTATTTTTAGATCTAGAAATCAATAGTTGAAAAAAACAACTACTTAGCATAGAATGAGTTGGTAAACAATCTTCAATTTCAAAGGGTCATAAATTGAAAAAGAAAAAGAAGAAAAGAAAGATGAATTAAAAAGTACTGAAATAGGCAAAATCATAAATAATGTTTTGATCATTGAAATTATTTTCAGACAACAGTAAAACTAGTTGGCTCGAAAGAAAAGGTAGGAGCTTCTCAGAGCACCACTCCTCCACACCAACTCTTGATGCCCTAGTCTGTAGTGCTACCATGGCAGCATCATATGAACGATTCGACAGCAATGGGCCAAATACAACAGGTGTGTCCGAAGAGAGAACTGCAGCCTCTCTGACATCATCAGAGAACAGAGCTGGGGAACTCAAGGACATGCAAATTGAGATTGATCAGACAGATGGTAAAGTTACCTTCTATTCAGGAGATCAAGCCAAGAGCAGTAATGAGTATATAGCAGACCCTGCTGGTGATCCATTTGTTCCCAAAACTGGACTTGAGTAAGTAAATGTTGTATCTGAATATATACATGGGTGTCTGTGTCTGACTGTCTGTGAGTGCATGTGTATGTATGCATAAGGTTCGTCTATGGGGCTGGGCCAATCTTATTAAAATGTGAATGTGAAAATTTACTGGTACAATTTTGGCTACATGTAACAAAGTAAAAGCCCCTTTTTTCACACAGTGAGAGAAACTATGTGATTACTAAGGATAATAATCACAGCACTCTGGACAGATTCATAGATGCCCCAGTCTCCTCCTCTTTGAAAGCATGAAACAACTGATGAGCCTGTTCTGCGTTGACCAATTAATCATCTCTTTACCTCAGTAAATGTTCATTTCTTGCAGCTCCAGTTGCACCCCCATGTCCCTCAGCCTAAGCAAGGATATAGAGTTAAGCCCTTTGTCCTTTTTGTCTTTGCAGTAAATGCTGTGTATGGATAACATCATAGTTTGTTTTCGGTACTGGACCAGCCATAGCAACCGCAGTGTCTGCAAGATAATCTGCATGTTCATTGCTTCAATCATCCGCATAATCTGGCACAAAGATAAAAGTTACACAAGCCATTCCAAAGTGCACAGGGATACAATCCACTCTTATCTGCTCAACCAAGCCTGAAAACTGTGTATAAGGGTGCATTGTGTGTTGAAAGCAGATGTTTTCCACTGTAAATTTAAATAACAGCAACACTAACAATACACTGCACAATTTATTGCAGGAATATTTTACTGTATTCTGTCAGGCTAATGAAAGTAGAACATTATATACGACAATGAGGAGACAGACAAAGTTCTTTGATCATCTAGTAAGAAAAGGAGCACTGGAAAATATTGTGGTGACTGGAAAAATTACTGTTAGAAGAAGCAGAGGCAAACCTAGAGAAATCATGGTGGATGGCTGAAAACAATAGCATGGAGGAATATCATCAGTGGAATTGATCCACAACACCAAAGACCGAGATCTGTGGCGATGCATGAACACCTAAGCAGCTGGCAAGGCACTTGATAATGATCTTGTCAGGTACTTACTACAAAATTTACATCAGTGATGACAAGACAGATCTGTAAAATGAAGTGCAATTAAAGTCTAAGTTCGGAAACAAACCAAAGTCCAGAAGTAGATGTACAACCAGAATTGTCAGGCACAGTTTACTGCTGGTTACTGCTAAGAAGAAGAAATCTTGTATCCATTTTATTCTTGGTCTTCTTCTTACTCTCTGACCAGAGTGGGTCCTTTTCCACTTGTTCACCCTGTACTAGAAGCGAGAAGACCTAAGTATCAAGAAAAAATAAAGAAAAAATGTTCGTTAGGCGGGGACTAGAAACATAAATATTCTAGCCCAGAGACGAGATCTTCTATCATTTACTGTAGTTCTTTCTGACTTGTTGCTATCAAGACTGTGTCATCAGCATAACGTAAATTGTTTATATTGTGCCCACCAACCACAATTCCTGGCATACCAGTTAAAGCTCTCATTATATATTCACTGTATATTGAAAACAAATCAGGTGGCAGTACACATCCTTGTCGTACGCCCCACTTTATGCTTTGAAATGTACCTAAACAGTTGTTAATTCTTATAGCTGCTGTTTGCTGCCAATACATATTCTTTATTATTCGTAGATCTTTCCCATCAATGTTTAATTTTTCTAACAGTTTGATTACTTTTTCATGCTTCACACAGTCAAATGCTTTTGTATAGTCTATGAAGCATATGTACAAATCAGTCTTTACTTCTATAGCTCTTTCTGACAATGTCCTTAGGATGTATTTGGCATTGTTTGTACCTTTTCCTTCTACAAATCCACATTGTTCATCGCTGATTTCTGGTTTAATTTTGTTTCTTATGCTTCTCATAATTATTCTCAGTAAAATCTTAGTCATGTGACTCATAAGACTTATTGTGCGATGGTCTTCCCATTTGATAGTGCCTGGTTTCTTAGGCAGAGCTATAAATATAGATTTTAAAAGGTCATTTGGAATATACCCACTAACTAATATAAAAATCATTTAAAAGTTTAGTTATTATTTCAATTCCAAAATCTCCCAGTGCTTCGATTTCTTCCAGTGAGATGTTGTCTGGCCCGGGTGCTTTTCCTATCTTCATATGATGTATTGCATCCTCAACTTCTGCAGTCATTATTGGTGGACCATCATTGTTGGTCTGCAGTTCTACATCTGGTCTAGTATCATCATACAATTCTCCTATATACTCTGTCCATCTGTTAATTATATTACTATGTCCCATTAATAAGTCACCATCTTTTGATTTCAAACATCCAGTGCTGTTACGTGTCATCTTTTCTGTTAACATATTTATCTTTTATTACATGGAATGTGAGTCTTTCCTGTTGTTTTCCCCAATCTCTGTACACATTTAATTCAGCCAGGCTTCTTTAGCCACTTTGCATTTGTTCACTATTTCTTTTTGTATTCTAGAGTATTCTTCTTTATCATTCTTTTTCTTCCTTCTTTCATCCATCAAATGCAGAATTTCGGTTGACATCCATTTCTTTTTTTGCAACTCTATGGGTTGGTGGGATTGTCTCTTTAGATGTCTGCCAGTACAAAATCCTTAGAAAATATTCTTTCAGTGCAGGAAGTAGACGGTCACCTAGTATTGCCAGCTTGCTAGGGAAGAGGCAGGTGATATCCAGAAGGAGTCCATGTGCTTGGCGCCTTCCTACCTACTAACTAGACATTTCACATTTATGACTGTAATATGCCACAATCATTAAGCCAATACCCCCGTGTGGGTTCCGTGGCCCCATTGTGGGGAAAACAAGAATAGACCCACTGCCTCCCCAAAAGCATGTCGTAAGAGTCGGCTAATTGGGGAGCTTGCTTTGAAGTCGGAGTGCATCTGCCGGAGAGGCAAGGAACCAACAGTCTGTATTCAAGAGAATGAGATCTGTAAAACTGATGCACACGCAACACTCAGGTTCTGGAGCAGGACTGCAGTTCAGTAGTGGACGATCAACCAGAACTTTCCGCCAGAGTGTACAGCTGGTGAACGTGAAGAAGAAGAAGATTAAGCCAATAGGCATGTAGGTCTACTGTGGGCTAAGGTTTTTTATTTTAATTGAGGTTATCTCCTCTAGATCTGTTATGTTTTGTGCCTCTTTGGTCAAGCACAATGGTCATGACTGAAGAAGGGTTTTCTTGATCAAAAGACTTACAACTTAAGTGTGCCCCTTTCACCCTATAAGTACAAGTACTCAAAGGCCTGATGAAGCTCTTAAGGGAGAACAGCTGGTCTACTCTGCTGTGAGAGAGATCACAACCTACAACCCTGGATCTCTCTGACCCTTGTGTATTCCGGTGCAAAAGAATCATAGGTGGCCCTATTCACATATATTTTCTTTTTCTCTTATATATCGTTTGTCTGTGTTGCTATGGGCGCTAAGGCAGATGACATTTATGGGTCCCAGAAACATTGAACAGTTATTAGTTACACAGTATCTAACAATCACATCAACTTCCCTGTGGCATCCAGCAGTGAAACATGTTGCCCTCATGTGTTTAAATTGGTAATTGGTTTGTTTTAAATGATGAATAAAGGATATTTTTGCCTTGAAATAATCGAGATAACTAGTGCGATCATACCGGAAGTGGGAAAAAATCTTTAGTCTGGAACAAGACTAAAGACCAGAAGTTGGTGAGCAGTCAGAACTTTCCACTGGAGTTTACAGCTGGTGAACGTGAATTTACCTTTAACATTTTCTCATTACCTTTAATTTATTTGATGAAAATGCTTTCACATGTTTTATTTTCAAATTTTTAACAGAAAAGCCAGAGCCAAAATTCAAAAGATTGTCGACAACTTCTACTTCCGTCTATTCACTGTAACGGTGATTCTTACAGATTTCATCCTGGTTATTGTTGACCTGGCTCTGTATGCCTGCGCCGGAAATGATTCACCTCTGGAAATTATCTCTCATATCTTCATCATATTCTTCATCTTTGAAGTCTCAGGACGTGTCTTTTGTCGAGGGTAGGATAGTGATGTGTGTCCATTTGCATTCATGTGATGCACTATTGTATGTATGGGTACGTGGTGTGTAAGCGAATGAGTGAGATTTTGTTTTTGTTTCTGAGTTCACCCTTTACTCTTTCAGTGCCAAGTAATTGATATATTAACTCCTAACATTGCAAAAGTTTGCTTGAAAGAAACAATTACCAAGTACAGAGGATTAATATATCAACTGTCTATGACAGAAGACAGCAAGAACATTATACTATATTTAAAGACATCAAAAAATGTACGGTTAGTTGTTTGGCACTAAAAGAGTTAAAATGGTTAACAATGGAAAACAGCAACCAACAGTGAACACCACAGTAAATGGAGAGCTATTAGAACAAGTAACAAGTTTCACCTATCTAGGACACGTAGTAATAGATGATGGAGGATGCGAAACAGAAATAAAAAGAGAATAGGAATGGCTAAACTTTCTTCAATAAGATGCACAAATTACTGACAGCTGGAAAGATAAACAACAAGCTAAAAATGAGAATCATCAAATGTTGTATATACTCAATGCTGCAGAAACCTGGACAATGAACAAGCAACTAGAAGATTGAATCGATCTCTATAAATAAGGATATTCAGAAGAATAGGTCATATTTCATGGAAACAAAAAACAGTCCAATGCAGAAGTTCTGGAAAGACTACGAATTAAAAATAATTTCCGAACGGAAAAAAATGAGATTACTGAAATACTTTGGCCACATTAGAAGACATAAAACGCTTTTAAAAACCATACTTGAGGGAAAAGTTGAAGGCAAGAGAGCAAGACTTAGATAACAAGACAAGTAGAAAGACAAGACCAAAGATGGATGAACAGCATTCTGGGAGCATGTACAACCTGGAAAAGAGACAGACAATGTCAATATTCTTTTGCAGCCCACCCCCAGTGTGGAGACAGCACCTGTTTGATTGATTGATTGGGGTTTACACAAAAGCTATATTATCTACACCTTTTGGCTCAACACATCCAGTGTCAGGAAACCTCTAATTTGTTGAAATTTAGACAAGCTTGGAAGAGCCAGGTTCGAATCCTCGGCAAGGTTGTGAATTTTTGCTGGCGGGGCAAAAAAGATTAATCCAGTCCCTTAGCAACAGCACTAGCCATGCGATCCTAAATCCTCAGGCTTAGCCCCCCCCCCCCCCCCCCCCCCCCAACCACCTTCTTCTTTACTCTACTGCTGGAATGCCTAGCGGCATCAGCGCAGAAAGAGATCTCTGGAATGGGCCCTTGTGTTCACTTCATTTAAACTACTTTTCAGTGTCTCTGGTATTTCTGTGGTCCATCTTCTGTGTGCTCGACCTCTTCCTGCCCTGACACCAGAAGTAGAGGAAAAGAAGAAGAAGCAGAAGGACTGCTTGAATCATATTCAACTGTTTGGAGCACAGGGAGTTAACCTCAGTTACTCACATAGGAAAACGTAACTCAGGTAGTTGCATGAGGTCAATATGACCCCATGGATTTACTTATTTTCAACAAATAAATATTTACATTTTGTTATGTTATTGTGTACAGTACAATTTATGACACATTTGTCTTATAAAGGCAATAGTTAAGCAAAAAATTGTGTTGTTGTATTGTGTTGATTAATCTCGCTGTCCCTTTGTTGAATGCAATTTTTAGCTATTTTGAAGCCCCACCCTGGCTTTTTCCTGGGCGCCCTAAATTTAGCTGGCCTGAAATCCGCATGGTGGTACTTTGTGTCACCGGGTGTTTATCGCTTGTGTGATATCCTGATGGGGTACAACCTACATACATACAAACAAAATTTGTTTCTCTTCGAAACAGTTTTTACAAACAGTAATTTGATTCTCTGAACAAAAACATAAGAAACACTTCTGAACCTTCTGAGGTTCTTTTCATACAAGGGCAATTACTCTGTTCACGTCAGATGCGTGCTTACAAATGAAAGTTACTCATCAGCATGTCGAAAGAACAAGTGCTGAGCAACTCATGGATCACACAGTCATGTTTCTGGTAAAGGAAACTGCAGTTCAATAGCCTGGGGGTAAAAAAAGTTGAATGGTTTCAGTAGTAGCCAACAAATGCATGAGTGAGCCACTTGGTACTTTATGAGATACTTTGAAAGTATTTTGTTTTTTTAATCTTCAACAGAAAAAAGTTCTTCACAAATTGGTTGGATGTTCTAGATTTGGCTGTGGTTTTGTTATCATTCATCGTGGATGTTGTTTTTATGGGGCTGGCATCAGCAGGTTGTCCTGGCGGAGGTCGATATGCCCAGTAAGTCGCTAACTTTTCTTCCTGCATTTGTAATCAGTCCTCGAAACAGACATTAGGCATACATAGTCAGTGTTATTAGACATGTTATGAGAAGACAAAAACTCATAGGCTGCCAATTCCAAAAGAGAAAAACTGCTAAACCTTAATCAGCCCCCACTGAGATAAACTGCACAGTGATAGGAGTGAAGATTTACTGAATAATGTGAATAGCCGTTGTGTGACAACATGAAAGGAGGGGTAACAGGAAGAGGAGAAGATGCTGGAGTTGGATAGGAGACATGTTGACAAAGCTTGAGTACAATCTGAGCAGGAGAAAGAACTAGAGAGGGAGGGATTACAAAAATGGTAAGGACATAAGATGAGCTGCATGTGATAGCAAAAGATAGAACAACTTGGCATGAGTTAGTTGAGGGTTCATGCTGCATGTGATAACAAAAGATAAAATGATTTGGAATGAGTTAGTTGAGGGTCTATGCTGCATGTGATAACAAAAGATAGAACGACTTGGCATGAGTTAGTTGAGGGTCTATGCTGCATGTGATAACAAAAGATAGAACGACTTGGAATGAGTTAGTTGAGGGTCTATGCTGCATGTGATAACAAAAGATAGAATGACTTGGCATGAGTTAGTTGAGGGTCTATGCTGCATGTGATAGATAAAGATAGAATGATTTGGAATGAGTTAGTTGAGGGTCTGTGCTGCATGTGATAACAAAAGATAGAACGACTTGGCATGAGTTAGTTGAGGGTCTATGCTGCATGTGATAGCAAAAGATAGAACGACTTGGAATGAGTTAGTTGAGGGTTCATGCTGCATGTGATAACAAAAGATAGAACGACTTGGCATGAGTTAGTTGAGGGTTTATGCTGCATGTGATAACAAAAGATAGAACGACTTGGCATGAGTTAGTTGAGGGTCTATGCTGCATGTGATAACAAAAGATAGAACGACTTGGAATGAGTTAGTTGAGGGTCTATGCTGCATGTGATAACAAAAGATAGAACGACTTGGCATGAGTTAGTTGAGGGTTTATGCTGCATGTGATAACAAAAGATAGAACAACTTGGAATGAGTTAGTTGAGGGTCTGTGCTGCATGTGATAACAAAAGATAGAACAACTTGGAATGAGTTAGTTGAGGGTTTATGCTGCATGTGATAACAAAAGATAGAACGACTTGGCATGAGTTAGTTGAGGGTCTATGCTGCATGTGATAGCTAAAGATAAAATGATTTGGCATGAGTTAGTTGAGGGTCTATGTTCCACTGGGGGAAAAAGGACAGAAGAAGAAGAGAAAAAGAAAAAATTTGATAAGAAAAAAAAAATGCCAGGGAACAGGGGGAGGGGAGTTTTAGTTTCTTACTGTCAGACTGTGAAATATCTAAACATGCTTTCCTTTAAATGTTTTTTTTTTGTGTATTTAAATTGTGTTTTTAAGTACTTATATATAAAATGTACCCATTTTAACATAAAAACAATAAAATATTAAATATGAAACAATTTAAAAAAAACAAACTATAAACACAAGGTAATTGAATAGTAACTTTATTTCCAAGAAGTGATACTTACTATGTTCTCTGTTTTAGCTCGCTGTGTAGCCAACTGTGTAGCTAAATGGTTAACTATTATATAGCAGTCTATTATGTTTGATGTTTGTTAATTTGTATCACTAAGTATTGAGTGTTTATATTAGCTTTCTAATGTTTGTTAATGTTTATGTCCCTCTCTGTTTGTGATAATTTATATACAATGAATTTGTGTCATTACTGGCTGTGTTTTTATGAAGAATTTGGGGGTCTTTAAACCTGAGAATTTAGGGCCCCATAGCTAGTGCAGTCAGCATGAACTGTGCAATTTAACCTCCTGACTATCTCAGTCACACATTATGCAATCCGCCGAAATTTACGCCTGGCTACATGTGATCATAATTTTTTATTCTAGCTACCATGTTAAAATTGTGACATTTGCTATATATGTAGTTGTAGCCATTGATCCATTCATTTATTTATGTAATTTTTTTAGGCAAACAATTCAGTAGAACTTAAAGAAGTTTTCCATGAATTTGTTTTGAATGAGCTTTTATGTCTGTTAGGCAGTAGGCAAATGTTTTGATAATGGGCCTGATCATTAGGGCTAGCATGGTGGAACAGTTCGGAGAGCCCAGTGTCCTTAACCATTCAGTCAATCTCTCCTATGCTTAACCTTAATCAGCCCCCACTGAGATAAACTGCACAGTGATAGGAGTGAAGATTTACTGAATAATGTGAATAGCCGCTGTGTGACAATATGAAAGGAGGGGTAACAGGAAGAGGAGAAGATGCTGGAGTGCTGTACTGTGTGAAAATGTATACTATATTCCTTTTACACATTTTTTGTTTAAAATGACAGGTTGATCGTTATTGGTAGAGTGGTCCGCATCATACGAGTTGTGCGTATCGTCTATTTCATGATGGTACAGCATCGGCAGGTTGCTAGAGCGACCAGACAGATGGTGTCCCAAAACAAGCGACGGTATCAAAAAGATGGATTTGATCTTGATTTGTGTTATATAACAGGTTTGAGTTTTGCATTTGAATATGCACATTTTTTTTTTTTCAACTAAAGGGCCTTTTCTGTTTCGGTTTCAAGACCCCGTTGGGGATGGGGGATAAAAATAACCACTAATCCCTAACCAACAAAATTACTAATTATAGCTTTGCTGAAATGGGACGTGTTAGGTCTAAAGACACAGATAGCAGTAAACTACAACACAATGTTCCAGCCAGCCTTTAAAAGGTTTACAGAAAAAAAAGTAGAGGCTATAGAGGAGCTTTTCCTTGGTGGAGAAGCTTTGGACATATGGTGCTGGAGATTCATTTGTGTAGACCAGTTGGACAGATATCAATACATTAGTTTATACATGTGACTAAATATTTCATTTATAACTCAATATGGGTTAAACAGGATCAGTCAGTCAGTCAGATGCCACCTCCAGAGTGAAGGTTTGCTGGAATGGACCTCTAACTCTTTCCCTCTCTTGTCTTGGTGGTACACTCTCTCAGACTATTTGTCCATCTCTTGATGTTGTCCTCCCACTTCTGTAACATTGAATCAGGACATTGGTGTTTAAATTACTCTACACTACTGCAGAAACGAAATAATGAACCACGACTGCCTGCCCCAGTTCACAAGGAACTTGATGACCGTGGCTAGTATATCACATTCATCCAAATCTGCAAAATCAATTTGGCTCCATGGTTAATGCATCCTTAAATGGGTACCGGGTAATGTCCTGGGAAGTAAAGGTGGTTGGCACGGTGTTGATAACATCACTCTCAAGTTTTAATTTGACTAGAAAAATGTAAATCTAACACCACTAGATGCGACACTACTGTGGTTTGCCTTTGAAAAGAAATTCTTAAACTTTACCAAATATTGAAAGCCTACAGAAGCTGGAAACTAATAAGGAAATAATGGAAGAAAGGGTCATAAAATACTGGGGCCATATTAAGAGATATTATTCATTCATTCATTCATTCATCCATTCATTCATTCATTCATTCATTCATTCATTCATTCATTCATTCATTCATTCATTCATTCATTCATTCATTCATTCACTCATTCATTCATTCATTCATTCATTCATTCATTCATTCATTCATTCAGTGTTCTGTTGGGCAGAGCTCACTCACATTAGGGATGAAATGCAGTCCAGCAGCTGTGACTTCTCTCATCAATGTTCATCATGGGGTTTCTCCTGGCTGTCCTCAGTCCCTCTATTTCCCATTTCAGCACCTGTTTGGTGAAAAGACATTATACTCTCGTTAAAAAAAAAGAATGAAAAGGTAGACAGTAATAAAGGGGTGAGATTATAATTAATGGGTTTTTGGGCCCCATTTTTTAAAGATTAAAAAAAAAAAGAAACCCACCCACTCACCCCCTCCCTCCACCTCCTGTCCCCCCCCCCCTCCTCCTTTTTCTAAAAAGTGACTAATTAGAGGTATGCTGAAGCTAGACTTGTGGTGCTGAAAGGTGCATCTATTGCAGTCAAGATGTGAACTACAACACAATGTGCCAACCATTAAATTAAGAGTGACAATAGAAAAAAAAAAGAAATTATTGCATCAATGGATTGATGAACAGACATCTGTGTTGGAGTGGACAGTGTCAGTGTGTGTGTGTGTGTGTGAGAGAGAGAGAGAGAGAGAGAGAGAGAGAGAGAGAGAGAGAGAGAGAGAGAGAGAGAGAGAGAGAGAGAGAGAGAGAGAGAGAGAGAGAGAGAGAGAGAGAGAGAGAGAGAGAAAGTGGTAAGAATGTTCAAATTAAAGCACATTTTCATTATGAAAAAAGTGCTATAACTTATTGGCTGACTGAATGCAACTTTAACAATAGCAACCTTTTTTTTTTCTAAACAAAAATATTTTTACCAATTTTACAAAAGGCTAAAATATTTCTACGATGTGAAAAAAAAATTTTTTTCTTCACATAGAGAGAGTCATTGCCATGTCATTTCCATCCAAGGGACTGATGGCGCTCTACAGAAACCCTGTGGCTGTAAGTATCAGAATGTACCTAACATGGCTCAGTCACTTAAGCTGTAGCTTTTTTCATCCTTAGATTATTTTAGAAACATTTAACTTCTGTGATTGCTACCTCAGAGATTGACACTCCGACTCAAAGAGCACTTTTCTGATGCAAATCCAAAAGGAACTAACTTCATAAACCCTGTTCAGCTGTATAAAAAAAGGTGATATTGGACACACCACATTTACCACCTGAGCAGTTTTCCATCAGATAGACATTCTCTGCAACAGATTGATATCTTCTTCATCCCCCCCCCCCTTTTTTTTTTTTGGTTCTGCATAGGCCCCTAGCTAGCGGCGAGGCGTGGTCAGTTCATATTTGTAAGCCTTATTAAGGGATGTTTACGCTGAAGAGGGTCTCACAAGATATTTTTGTCTTCGTTGCTTTGTGGTTGACCGAGTATGCATGCGCAATTAGCATTGTGGTAATAGTAACTGGTAGCTTTCACACGTTTAGGTTTCTCTGTGTGTGTGCATGCTATAATCATGCAGTGACCATTCTTTTCACTATATTTAAGACGTAATCTGAGTGGCGTATTTGTAAAAATATAAACAGTTGTGACAAATAGTAAAATCGTGCATTTTTCTTTGGCAGTGGTCAGTGAAAGCAGTGACTACAGCCGTTACATGCACGCCTCACCAATTCAAGTTATGATTTAGGTTATCTTTATGGCATACTGGACGCATGTATAGGTGCTCAGATTTCCCCTTCAACATAAACATTAGTGTCCCTTGGTTAATAAGTGCCAACTATATGAAATATTGTCACAGGGCACTGTCAAATCATGGATAGGGGACTCTGTAGCATGGTCCTAAACTCTGCTGCACTTTGAATTCCAGTTTAAAAGGACAGCCTTCATCCTAACAGATGGGAAAGAGTTCTAACATCTTATTTGTTTACAGCTGAAGTCATAAAGTTATATTCTCCTATACTTTTGAGATCTTGTGCAGTTTATATAATTTCTCCCCAGCCTTTTCAACTCTGCTTCTAGTCTCTTGTCCTTGTGTTTTTTGGTACTCATTTTAGACTGGGTCAAGCTGGGGGCCAAGGTCACATTGTTTTCAAAATCTGCTTTGGGCAGATTCAAATCCATGACCTTCAGTTCAGCATTCAAACATCTAGCCACTATGCTACCATGGGTTCCATTGGGTTAAAAGGTTAAAGGTGAGAGGATCGACTTCATTGTACTGGGTATTATCTCATAGGGCTCTGTCTCTCCGCAGAAGGGTTAGTCGCCTGCTGAGAGCATCACACAAAGCACAAACTCTGTAGCTTCAGCACTGATCCACAGAGATGTCTGTAAACATCGAACCTGTGAACAGAAAACATTGCAGCCATGAAACAGATCCATGATCTTCAGAGCGTGAAGCACTTGGCTTGACTACTTTGCCAAGAAGACCCCCAAATAATATAAAATGCTTTATGAATTTGCATGTCATTGTTCCATTGTGATACACCAGTTAGCGACTGATGGGGGATTGTATCAAATATCATGCCAACTTGACCCGTACATCTAGGGTTTAAATCTGCACCAGGTGGATTTAAAAAAAAACACCTTAGAATTGTCACCAAACCTTGCAGTGACAGAGATTTGAACAGGAAATTATCAAGCTGCAGGCATGCTGTGCCACCATGGCTTCCTGAAAGACTTCTTCTTCTTCTTCTTCGTCATTTCCTCTTAAACTGCTTCATGTGTTGAGCTGCCAGTGTGTGTTCGGGGTCCCATTGTGAAGAAAAAAATTAGACCTACAGTTCCCGCAACCCCTCCTCCCCCCTCCCCACCCCCACAAGCAAGGCGTAAAAGTCAACTTATTATGAATGTTTCCTTCAAAGTCACACTGGCCCTGTCTGAGAGGTGAAGAACCAACAGTCTGTAAATAAATAAACTAGTTCTATAAAACATGTTCACACATAACTCAGGTTCTGGAACGAGACTAAAGTCCAGATGTGGATGAACAACCAGAAGTTTCCACCAAAGTTTACTGCTGGTGGAATAAGAAGTTGAGGGTGTTATAAGGTTCTGGTTCTTGCTCTTCTGGCCACCTTATCCATAGACATATTGTGCTATTGTAGAGTTTCTCTGATGTTATCTTTCCATCTGGTTCTTAGTCTACCTCATGTTGTACATCCTTCTCGTCTACTGGTGTATGCCTTGTATGGTATGGCCTCTGCAAGGCATACTGAGGGAAGGGGAGGGGTGGGGAGGATGATGAAAAGGTTAAAAAAAAAACTGACAGCAGAGCAGGCAAGAGATGCTTGATGCCATTTTTTTCCTTCCATCAACTGTCTTCAATTACTGCTTGCTTTCTCTGTCACTCTGTCTCTGTCTCTCTCTCTCTGTCTCTCTATGTCTCTCTCTCTGTCTCTCTCTCTGTCTCTCTCTCTGTCTCTCTCTCTGTCTCTCTCTGTCTCTCTCTCTGTTTATGTGCATGTTTTCATGCATGAGTGTGTGTGAGAGTGTGTGCTTTGGTGCATGCATGTGTGTGTGTGTGTGTGTGTTGGTGTGAGGATGGATCGATGGTTGAAGCGAGGAGGCGGGGTTTAAACAGACACTGTTGGCACCCGTATTTTCCAGGCAACACTGTTATACTGTACTAAATGGAGGTATGAGACACCAAACCCATGGTGATCGCCTGTATGTCTAGGAGGAGACCCATTCAAGTTAAAAGTCTTCCACAATGAAACCAAACAGCAGATATACAAAATATGCAAGCACAATTCTGTATACTATATCAAAGCTTATTAATTTAATATTGCTGGTTCCTTAACCCTTGTACCCCACAAGTACTAACAAAAATTGGTGCTTTATTAATATCCTACCCCAGATGATGTCAGAGAACAGTCCAACATTTTAGAGGGTGGTAAGACTGGGTTTTTCGACTTTCTGATGCCTTTACCGACCCCAAAATATCTAGAACTGGTCCTTACCTCACCTATGTGCAGAGAGTGCAGCCTAGGTCCCACGAGAGAGTGCAGCCTAGGTCCCACGAGAGAGTGCAGCCTAGGTCCCACGAGAGAGTGCAGCATAGGTCCCACGAGAGAGTGCAGCCTAGGTCCCACGAGAGAGTGCAGCCTAGGTCATACGACTGCATGCAGCCTAGTTCTCACGACTGCATGCAACCTATATACCACCCCTGAAATATTAGATTGTCCCCTGACCTGTGGATTTTTCCTGTTTGGGGTAGGATATTAATAAAGCACCCAAAAATGGGTCATAAACCTGTGGGAATTCCCTTTTTTTTTTAAATGCCCATAAAAACCAACAAAAAAACAAAACAGGCTATTTTTTTTTAAACACAGGTCGCTAATAAATTGTTAAATAATTTTTTTTTAAATTTACATTTTAAAATTATAAATTTTGTTTTGACATTTAAAAAGATATATAAAAAGGGTAATCAATAAACATGAAGAGAATGAAGCATTAAATGGAATACATTTCTTCTTCTTCTTCTTCAACGATCTCTGGTCATGCGCATAATCCACTGTGGGCCATAAACTGGGATGTCTTTTCAATGTCTCTTAGATTTCCCCAAAGCTTAGTTGACAGTTCTACTGGGTGTTGCCATATGTTGCTCCGCAGCTCCCCCAGGAGAGGACAGTCTTGCAGGAGATGTTCTGGAGTCTGTTCAGCACGAAGACACTGGCAGAGAGCTGTTTGGCTCATACCTAATTTATATGAGTGCTTATTCAGGCTGCAGTATCCAGTACATATGCGAAAAACTGTGACTTGGTCTGTTCTGTTCAGGTGTTTCAGAAAATCTTTTCCGTAGTTATAACCAGTGTTGGTTTTCCAATCTGTTTCTGATTTAATAAAAGTTTTGACTTCTGGAAAAGATAGTGGCTGGTAGGTCTTTAGCCTTCCTTGGCTAAAGCATCAGTGCTTTCATTGCCTTTGATGCTACAGTAAGATGGAATCCACTGCAAGTGAGTTTCTGCCTTATTTGACAACATAGCAAGTTCATGTGTTAGACTTTGTAGTGTGCTGTCGGTAGGTGTGGACTCAAGGGCCTGTATAGCTGACAGTGAGTCAGTGAGAAAAACCATCCTGCCTGCGGTGATTTGCAGATTGTTCATATACTGTGCTGCCATCAATAGGGCTGAGAGCTCTGCCTTGTAGTTAGAGCAAGTTTGTCAAGTGGGGGCTGCCAGGGACACAGTAGTGGCATCTTGGTGTTTTATGTAAACACCTGCCCCACCATTCGTAGTTGCCTCTTTTGCTGATCCATCCGTGTAGGTTCTCGTCCAGCTGTCCTGTGGAAACATGTTGTTGAGGTGTTCCATTGTGAGTGCTTTCTTTACTAAAGTGGGTTCAGCCTCTTTGTTTCCCAGGTTGGGGATGGATGTTGACACACTGAGTGTCAATAATTCTGAGTCCCAGAGATCGAAAGATAGCTCTTCAGGTGTACATTGTTGGTTAAGTAGTGAAGAGAATGACTTTCCAGATTTCTTAGTTAGATGGTTTAGGCTTGTGCGCTTTATTCTGTTTTTTGTCCTGGCTGCCAATTTTTCGTGTAGTGGGTGGTTTAACATTCTCTTCATTTTTTCCGCATGTAGAATTGCTTTTGTCCTTCTTCTTTCTTCTAAGGGGAGGATGTTGGCTGCCTTTTCCATTTCTACAATAGGTGTAGATTTTATGGCTCCCAGAATTGTACGCAGACTTTGGTTTTGCGTTTTGTCTAGTGCCTGTTTATTGGAATGGGCTGCTGTTATCCATGAAGATGATGCGTATTTTGAATACATTTTAAAGAGCCTAAGAAACAGTATGTATCGGTTAACTCGTGCCCTGACCCCTTGACCTCTATCGCTGAGGCTTATAGGGAAAATTGGCATCAGCTTGTCTTTAAAAAGGCCATTAGGGTCATAATGAAACCCCTTTAAATGCTGTTTTTTGTTGTTATATTCATATCCTGGCCTATTAAACACTGTGCAGGTGCACATAGAACCAATGGATTTTAACCTCACTTTTCGAGAACAAGTCACTGCAGACAAGCCAATATAAACAACTGGGAGTGACTAGGTTTGGTCTTGTCAGGCTGATAGGGATACTTCCTGTTTTTAACTATATTTATAGATATATATATATATATATATATATATATATATATATATATATATATATTATATATATATATATATTATATATATATATATATATAATATATATATATATTTCAATTTGTTTTTCTTCATCAGGAGGTGGCTCGTTTCTTCAATACAAAACACAAAGGCCATTACAGGATATACAACCTGTGCAGTAAGTTGTAAAGATATTTAGTTTTGTTTGTTTGTTCCCTCGCAGTAGGCCCAAGGGTGGAAGCCAAGACATTTTTGGAATGATAATAAAAATTAGTTGTTTATTCTTAACAGGACGTTGCAGTACCCACCCCAGATTTCTTAGCTGCATGTTATTTCCTTAGGCAACGTTTATGTTCAGTAGTTTGCCATTGCTTTCTGAATAGTAAATTCTTGGTATGACTATCAAAACCAACACAAGGTGTAACCAAACCCTGCAACTCGGAATTACAAAGTGTGTTCTTAACACATCACTACCTCAAGTGCCAACAAGTCTATAAAAATATGAGGCTAACATCGTATGCCCAATATGCAACTGGCATGAAAAAGGATTGTTTTCTTTTCACTTCACCCAGTCTTTTTAGCTGTTTTCTTTTCACTTCACCCAGTGTATTTAGTTGTTTACTTTTCACTACACCCAGTGTATTTAGTTGTTTACTTTTCACTTCACCTAGTGTATTTAATTGTTTACTTTTCACTGCACCCAGTGTATTTAGTTGTTTACTTTTCACTTCACCCAGTGTATTTAATTGTTTACTTTTCACTTCACCCAGTGTATTTAGTTGTTTACTTTTCACTTCACCCAGTGTTATTTAGTTGTTTACTTTTCACTTCACCCAGTGTATTTAATTGTTTACTTTTCACTTCACCCAGTGTATGTAATTGTTTACTTTTCACTTCACCCAGTGTTATTTAGTTGTTTACTTTTCACTTCACCCAGTGTATTTAATTGTTTACTTTTCACTTCACCCAGTGTATTTAGTTGTTTACATTTCACTTCACCTAGTGTATTTAATTGTTTACTTTTCACTGCACCCAGTGTATTTAGTTGTTTACTTTTCACTTCACCCAGTGTATTTAATTGTTTACTTTTTACTTCACCCAGTGTATTTAGTTGTTTACTTTTCACTTCACCCAGTGTATTTAGTTGTTTACATTTCACTGCACCCAGTGTGTTTAGTTGTTTACTTTTCACTTCACCCAGTGTATTTAATTGTTTACTTTTCACTACGCCCAGTGTATTTAGTTGTTTACATTTCACTGCACCCAGTGTATTTAGTTGTTTACATTTCACTGCACCCAGTGTATTTAGTTGTTTACTTTTCACTGCACCCAGTGTATTTAGTTGTTTACTTTTCACTTCACCCAGTGTTATTTAGTTGTTTACTTTTCACTTCACCCAGTGTGTTTAGTTGTTTACTTTTCACTACACCTAGTGTATTTAGTTGTTTACTTTTCACTTCACCCAGTGTATTTAATTGTTTACTTTTCACTTCACCCAGTGTATTTAGTTGTTTACTTTTCACTTCACCCAGTGTATTTAGTTGTTTACTTTTCACTACACCCAGTGTCTTTAGTTGTTTACTTTTCACTACACCCAGTGTATTTAGTTGTTTACTTTTCACTACACCCAGTGTATTTAGTTGTTTACTTTTCACTACACCCAGTGTATTTAGTTGTTTACTTTTCACTACACCCAGTGTATTTAGTTGTTTTCTTTTCACTTCACCCAGTGCATTTAGTTGTTTTCTTTTCACTTCACCCAGTGTTATTTAGTCAATTGAATCATCATCATATTCTTTTCATTCTCCCTCCCGGTGATTCCAGATGATAAGACCACAAGACTCTATGAAGGCTGTGGTAGGATTCATGTCCTCCACTGGTCCATACAGTTTGCTTCCCACGGGAATGCCCTGGCAAGACCTGGCATCCCGCTTCTGCATGGGCAAATTTCTGAGTTCTCTGTATTGAATTTTTTAAACATATGGCACCAGCGTCTTGTTGTACCTAACTGACAAGTGTGTGAGGAGGTTGACTGGGTCTTCAGGCTTGCCTTCTGGATGGGAAATGTTCCAGCTGGTTCTTATGGCTGACTTGATCTGGGTTTTCATTTCCTTATAAGTGCATCCTTCTTCAAATTGTTTTTATTGTTTTTATTTTTGTATTATTGCTTTCAATGTTTGCTAAATAGTGTGGTCTTTAATTCCAGCTGAGTAGTCTGCTCTATCATTTTCTGTAAGTCAATGTAATAAGATGCTATCTTTACATCAGGAGCCTGTGTGGCAAACTGGTTAAACTGTTTGCTACACATTCTGAAGCTTCTGGGTTCAGTTTCTGACTGGTGACCAGGTGATCAGTGGAGAAAGACTGAGCCATATTTAATAATACCTTATAGCTGATTGTACCAGCTATTGTCCAGACACTTCACTTATTATCACCGTTCTTTCGTTCATCCTATTGAATGTTCATCAATTTCCTTAAGCATTTGCTATCTAGGCTGATGGACATGGGGGTGCAGCCTGGATCTGCACAAAATAAACATTAAACTAAATGGACAAGACGTTTCATTAACCAACATAGAACAGGCGTCATCAGTCATTTTACACTTGTAGACCTTTTGAGGAGGAGATCAGAGCACCTAAGGATCTGTCTGGAAGAGATTGGTTCTTGAAAAGTGAGGTTAAATTCCATTGGTTCTATATGCACCTGCGCATTGTTTAATAGGCCAGGATATGAATTAATAACGAAAAATAGCATTTAAGAGGGTTTCATTATGACCATAATGGCCTTTTTAAAGCCAAGCTGATGCCCAATTTCCCTATAAGCCTCAGTGATAGAGGCCAAGGGGTCAGAGCATGAGTCAACTGATACATATTAAATGTTGAATTAAGAATCGACATCACAGCACTTGGGACACTTCCATAAATGCTCTGTCCCCATCTTCAGCAGCAAGCGAAGAGTTCCAATTCTCATGGCACCAATAGCCGTCTGATTGTGTATCTGTCTCATCCTTCCCCTGAGTGTTTAGTGTCGGCCAGATCCCCTGGTAACCACCCAGCACCATTCTCCTCAGACCATAATGATCTATTTGTGCATCTGCACTGTTCACTCGTTCCCAAAGGGCCCTCACAATATCTAGCTTGTGATACATTAGTTCACCACTAAGTGGTGCAGAACCGGCCAGTCTATCTGCCTGCTCATTTCCCAACACACCATCTTGACCTGGAGAAAATATCCAAAGGATGCTAACTACCTCTAAAGTGATGCTTGCCACTCTGCACAAAGCATGCCTCTCTTCACCTTTTTCCACAGGCTCTGTGAGTCAGTTACAAATACTGATACAAACTGATAATCCTTGCTATTTTAATGCATTTAACTCTCACTTAATATCTTTGGTGGTTTTACAACTTTCACTGGCATATGTTAAAGTTGAAAAAATGTTAGAATAAACATATGTAAAATGGTTTTAAAATTCTGAGTTAACAAACATATACAAAACAAATTAAAAAAAAAATCATATAAACCGCCTAATGAATTTCTAATCTGCAGTCCATTAATTTGAATTTATCTATACAATACTATAAGGTGACTTTTCTATTTACAATCCAGTCAGTTATATTCATGTAAATAATCCAGTCAATTTACGTATCTACAGTCTAGTTATATTCATGTCTACAGTCCAGTCAAGTATATTCATTTCTCTAATCCAATCACTTATAGTCATGTCGTCAGTCATATCAGTTATGTTCATTATACAATCCAATCAGTTAGGTACGATCCATATAAGCAAATTCACATCTACCATCCAAATTAACTGTACGTTACAGTCTCATTGGTTGTATTCTTATCTAGGACCCAATTATCTGAACTCATATTCACTATCCAAATAAATCAATTTATATCTACAGCTAAATTAATGGAATGTGAATCTACATTCCTATTAACTTTATTCATCTCAACAGGTGAGAGGGATTATAACGAGTCACTGTTTTTCCATAACGTAGAGAGGGTGTTCATTGATGATCACAATGTGCCAAAATTGAGGTATGTTTATTGATTATTGCATATGCATCTTTTAATTTGAAAATTAACTTTTTCAGTCATAAACATTTGTTATTTTAACCCCTTCCAGATGAGCTGAGCTCAAAAGCAATAAACACTTTCATCTGAAGGAATATAACAGAGACACCAAAGGACAGAAACAATTAAATTAATATCTGGTAGTCTGGTAGTCTTAGTTTCAGCTTCATAGCAAACGGGTCACCCCAACGAAAAACACACGGAATGTTTATCACAGTCCCTTGTGGAAAGATTGACAGACTGCTGTCTCGGCATATCTAGCATACACATGCATTAAAGCCAACACAAACAGTCCGACATTAGAAATGCAGTTCATCATTGATGGTAGCAGAAGTCACCAACAGTCAGCAGTTGCCCATGCGACCAGTTTTAATCACATACGGGCACCACCAACATTGCGATGACAGGTATCGCGGCCGTGCCATTTTCTGAATCTACAATACACACCACCACGTTGGTCACAGTCGAAAAAACATTCGAAATGAAATCCGCAGCTCACAGTGTCATGCCATGCATTCAACTCAGAAGCTGGGCGACCAAACTATATCCAGTCTACAAATGGAGCAAAAATGCATCGGCCACTGTCCGGCAGAAGCAAAAAATTTGCCTCGGCTCCGGGCATTTTGACCGGAAGTTTAATTAAAAAAATTAATATTTCAGACACATATACAAATTCAAATCCCCCTGGGATGATAGACCAACTGCCTCCCTCCCTTTCCAAGCATGTCATAAATTCAAGGAACTACAGTCTGCATACAAATAAGCCAGATCTGTAAAATAGATATGCACACTAAAATCACGTATTGGAACAAACCATATCTTGAAGTAAAAAAAAACAACCAGAACTTTTCACCAGAATTATCAGCAGACGGCCACTGTGAAGAAGTAATAGTACTATATACATGTCTTCCTGTCGGATCTAAAGCCCCATTTTGTGGGAAAGAAAAAGCAGACTTGTTGCCCCATAGCAAGCAAGTAGTAAAAGACAGTTAATTAGGGATTTTCAAATCTGATGTGTTGGGCTAAAGGGTACATATATTGCAGCGTACCAGCTACTGATTATAGTCAAAAGAAGAAGAAGAAGAGGAAAAAGAAGAGAAAATGAAGAAAAAGATGGTATGTATAAAAATTTCATTATTGATTGATGTATTCTTCCATTAAATTCAAATGAAGAAACTCCTGAATGTTATCTCACAGAGAAATGTTAGATTTTACTGCAAATGCCAGAGAATGGATGGCTGCCGATAAACAGAATGTGATAGCAATCCATTGCAAAGGAGGAAAAGGGCGGACAGGTACAATGATTTGTATCTGGTTGATTGATTGTGGTCTTCTGGAAAGTGCTCAGGTAATAATAAATAGATCAGTTTAGTTATTTCATCTGTTGGGCATGTAATAACAGCAGCAAAACAAAAATAAAAAAAGGTAATAAGAATGGCTAACCTCATACGGGTTCCGGTCCCCACTTGGGGAGGGGAGAGGTAGGGGAATAGATTCACTGCTCTAAAACAAGAGAGGAGGGAGGAGAATAGTTGCATTGCCCTTAACAAGAGGGAGGGAGGAGAATATATTCACTGTCGGGCCAATGGTTGCATATATACAGACAGGTGTAGATCTAAAACATTTTGTGTCGGGCCAATGGTTGCATATATCACAGACAGGTGTAGATCCAAAACATTCTGCCTCTTTTTTTTTTCTTAAAGGACTAATGCTGCACACACACAAAAATAATAATTGCTAGAGTATAGAAAATGTAGAGAAAAAAAAACAAATATTAGCATTTAGAGATTTAAATAAAAAAATTTTTTAACTTTTAAATTTTTAATTTGTCAAAAGAGATAGAATGAACAGCAATTTTTGCTGAAGTAATCTGATCAATAAACATGCAGTAAGAAAGGCAAAAAAAGGCCCCATGAAAGTTAAGCGTGTCGAAAAATGATTTGTATTTCATGGAAACAAAACAGTTAAATAGTCTTAGCTCTTGAGGAAAATGAGCTGATAAATTTAAAGAGACATGCTAAACATTTTTGTCACATTTAAATGCATAATACTTTTTTTTTAAATCTATAGAAATTAAAAAATCAAAATCAGGCCAGCAAGAGGTAGACAGCGATCAAGTGTGATAAAAATGTCAAGAGAATGATGAACAAAGGAGAAGGCTTAAATGACACAAGAACATTTATTTGAGATTCTATTAAATATCACGTGCAGCTGATAAATATGTTACTCATATCAACATTGTGCTATCAGTGCCAGACATGGACAGTCCTAGAAAACAAATGCAAAATTACAACATGTGAGATGAGATGTAAAAGAAATGCAGCAGAAAAAAACAAGAAGAGAAAGGTCACTGATGAAGAACTAAGAACAATGCAGTAAGCATAGTTCGGGTAAATGTTTTAATAGAAAATGAAAAAATAAATTATCTGGTCAGAATTGAATCAAATCAACCAGCAACTAGGGGGTACTATATGAGAACTGTAGGCTACAAGTCAAGATGAAGAAACAGATGGGGCAAAGAGAATAAAAGTGATACTGAAGAAATGCAATATGACATTGACACAAACTACGCAACTATTGAAAGACACAGAACTACATCTAAATTGTCTCTATGAAGTTTCATGGCATAAACAGTAGGACAAAAGAAGCAGAAGAATATCAAACATGTTATAAAACATATTTTACCTCTATATTTTCAGAACTTCAAGACTGAGAACTGTTAGAGTAATAGCTAGGACTTGGGACCTAATAAATAACAAATATTAAAAGTCATGAATACTTGTTTTACATCAAGAATGTTTTGCAGTCATAACTATTAATTCTACCTTTCCATCTTTCAATTGTTAAAATAACTGCCAATCACACCTTTTTTAAAAACAGATTTATGCTATTGCTGTAAACAGAGATGTCTGCATCTGGCACTGGAAATAAAATACGCATTTTATGCTGACATTTTTCTGTGAATTTCACAATACATCAAACAAACACAGACATTCCCAGTATAGAACCCATTTCAGAGCTAATCTGTTTAATTATTGAGAAGTGTGTGAGACACTGGAAAATACTGATGATGAAAACTTTCATGCCTGGATTATAAATTATATGTGATCCTAGGGTAAAAAAAGAAGGCATGAACTTTTAATGTTTCCAATAGGAGTTCACACTTACTAAACAAGCGGAACAGCGCATAAATGCATTTGAATATAAATGTTACAGACAAGTTCTAAGAATATCTTGGGTAAAGAAAAGAACAAATGCATCCATACTTCAAGAGCTGAATATTGAAGAGGGTTGGCTAGTAAAGACAATAAAACAAAGAAAATTGAAATATTTTGGTCACTTGAAACGTCATGGAAGTCTAGAGAGAACAATAATGGAGGGGTATATGCCTGGGAAGAGAGGAAGAGGAAGGCCAAGGAGAAGATGGGTGCAGGATGTGGCAGATGATCTCCAGATGGGTGTATCAGACGCAGGACATCTTGCTCATGATAGGAAGGTTTTCCGGAGGGTTGTTATGGCAGCGAGGTTCCGCGAGGGACATGCTACTGAATGAATGAATGAATAGGAGTTCTGAACAGGGTTCTCTAGAGATCAAAGAAAAAAGTGTTCTAATTCTGCTGCTGTGATGATGAGGATATTCATGATGGAGATGATTATTAATCGATATATTCTAAGAAAGTCTATGTAGTAGGCAACTCTAAGATCTTAGGGACTATGGAGTTGTTCCTGTGGTTTCGGGAACAGCATCTGCTGTGACTGTAAAGTCCAATGTGGGCGTGGCAGCCTCTGCTACAAAGTCCACATAAAAAAACGTTCATACTCTGTCATTCTGAGGTTGGTTTTGTCTCAGACGTATCCTCTCTATAGCTTACTGCATATGGCCTCTTTCAAACCATGACAGTCCGTCTTTCACTGTCTCCCTCCATAGAAGTCAATCTGCAGCTACCTCTCCCAGTTGCCTATGTCAATGTTGAAATCTTTCAGGTCATGTTTTCACCTGTCCTTATAGCCTAGCTTTGGCCTTTCTGCAGGTCTTATCACCATTAACAATTCGCCATGCAGGAGATCTTTTGAAATTTGACCATCCTCCCAAACAGCGCAGGCGTCTTTGTCTCAGTAGACAGTGTATGATATTAATAGATGTGATGGTGGCGAATACATATTCTAAAAGATATGATGATGATGAGTATGAATATAATTTTGAACATATATATATATAATGATAATGTTGCTATTGGAAATATTAACAATGATGGAGACATTGACAATAATAATTTGAATATAAATCTGTGAATGCCAGGAGAGCCTGCAGTATTTTGGAGACAGACGCACAGATCTGAGCAAAGGCAGCACATTCCAAGGTGTTGAAACTCCCAGTCAGGTATGATTGTCTGAATCCTGTTTTGACACTTTAAATTAATGTGATCGGTTCCCCATGCCTTCTAGACCATCTCTAACACTTTTTCTTATTCTCAGTACAAACCCTAGTTCTGGTTGTCTAGTTAGTAAAGTATAGGACTCTTTTCTACACCTTCAAGTGTTTGGGCATATATGGCTAGACCTATATTTTATTGACCAGTCGGCACCAGGTGCTGATGTGGTCAACATCATGCCGGCCACTTTTACTTCCCAGGACTTTACATGGTAACCATTTGAGGCTGAGTTGATGTGGGAACTGAGATCATTTTTTTTTTAAAATAAAAAAGTTGTTCATCTGCTTCTGGACTTTGTAAAGCTTGGTGAAGCATATGTGTTTTATATTCATGGTCAAGATAAGAGACATTGTAATCAACTCCTCATGGGAACAATCAGTAGGCTGCTACATGAGACTGAGCACATGTAGGAAGGCCCAATGTGCAGTGACTTCAACTGTGATAACATAACATAAGCTGTACTGCTTTTTTGAATTTTTGATGTTACAGGCATACAAAATGTTACTGTTAATTGCATGGGTCCTGAACCTCGAGACTGTTCATCAACCTCTGGACTTGAGACTTGTTCCAGAACCTGGGTGTTGTGTGTACATCGGTTTTACATATCTGACTTTGTATGCAGATAATTGGTTTCTGGCCTCTCAGGCAGATGTACTTCGAAGGAAACCCTAGTTAGTCAACTCTTATAACATGCCACCCCAAACTTGTTCATCCACTTTGGTCTCATTCCAAAACTTGAGTTTTGCATGCACGTCCATTTTACACATCTGGCTTATTTGTATGCAGACTATTGGCTTGTCGCCTATTAGGCTCATTTAAACAAGGCTTAAGCCCTTTTAGCTCCCCCCCCCCCCTCCCAATATGCCCCCTAGAAAATATATAAAAGGGCTGAGCTCTCTCCGATGTTTTCTCTGGGTCGCTGCCCCTGGTTTAATGGATGGCTTTATTTGAAAGTTGTGACATCATGCACACTGCACAATTTCTGAGGACTCAGAGAACAATAAAGGCAGATAACTTCAACCAGTGTTTCCCAAAATAGTGAAATGTCCACAAAGCAATTCTTTTTTTTTTTTCTGAATATCTGAATATTATTTCTTTCTGTTCAACTGAAACAATTCTTGGTTGCTAACGATGTTTACCCAGTAAATTCTGAGAATTTTCCTTAGTTAGCAAGAGTTATCCACTCATAAAATAATTTACTCAGCTGTGAAATAATTGCTAAAAGAGATTTTGCCAAAACTTCACCGAGGGTGGGGAAATTGAAATAATTTGTACAGCTTTTCTTAAAACTATATTTGTTATTTTCTTTTAATTAAAATCTTAAAATCAGTCGATGATTAGGTCTAATGTTTGCAAATGGTGGAAATATTAACTGAAACAGAAAAATTAAAATACAGTGACTTGAAACTTGAGGAAAATGGTTTTAGCTTTCAGGGCCTATTGATTTGTTTTGTTTTTTAATGGATATATATTTGTATAACTACATATCTGCATAAACTTATGTTATCAGTGTCTCTGCACACTAGGCATTTCCATAGATGCTCAGACCTCCCATGCAGCAGCCCTCCCAAGATATCCAAACACACCATTCCCATTTTTTATATATATGCTGAATGAATGAATGGATGCACACAGATGCAAATATGCATATGCAGACAGGCAAACAGTCAGTCACATACACTTTAGACTTGTTTCAGAACCTCTGTGTTACATGCAGACCCGTTTGACATATCTGACCTATTTGTATACAGACTCTTGGTTCCTTGCCTCTCAGGCAGATGCAAACCACTTCAAAGGAAACCTGTGGAGGCAGTGGGTATGTTCTTGTTTTCCTCAAAATGGAACCCTGGAACTCACATGGGGAAAACTGCATTATGGAACCATCTGACTAACTTCTAAGCCACCGAGCTGCACCATTTTATCAAAGCATACAACAAAGATTCTCGCCTGAGCATCTTATAAAGCAGCAAAATAATGTTGAATTAAGAATTGACATCACAGCACTCAAGACATTGCCATCAGCGCTCCATCCCCATCTTCAGCAGCAAGTGCAGAATTCCAATTCCAGTGGTACCAGTAACTGTCTAATTGAATATCCATCTCACCTTTCCTCGAATGTTGAGCGTCGGCTAGATCTCCCGCTAGCTCCTCACAGCATCATTCTCCTCAGACCTTGATGATCTGTTTGCACCTCCTCACTGTTCACTCACTCCCAAAGGACCATTACAACGTCTAGCTTGTCATGCATTAGTTCACCATCAAGTGATGTAGAACCAGCCTGTCTGTCTGCCTGCTCATTTCCCAACACACCAGCATAATTATCAGTAGGATGCCAACCACTCTGGACCTCTGAAGGGATGCTTGGCACTTTGCATGGAGCATACCTGTCTACAATTTTTTTTTAACATGCTCTGTGATTCGGTTATGATCATGACATATTGTGTGCACCTGGCTCTCAAGCAAGTAGAAGGCTGCAGTGACTGCCTCCACCTCCATTCTCAAACTAGATGTTATATCATATGCCAGGCTTTCTTGCACTGAGCGATGTCCATTTGCTTTTACTATGAACTGCCATGCACTTTGTCTGCTCTTTTAACATAAAGCTATCTGTATAGATAATCTCATCACCTGGCATAATAAAGATTGGTTTCAATATTATTGATAAGATATGTATTTATTGAAGTTTAAAAATTTTTTTTTTAAATATCCAGAAACCATGAGTCATTAACCCTTTGGCTCGGTACTATGGATATCACAACCCTTTGGCCTTGATTCCATGATAAATACCATAAATCTGGGAGAAATGTGGCTTTTCTGCCTACCCCTGGGCGTGAACCCGGACCACAAGGAGTTTGTCACCCGGTCGTCGTGAAGTCAGGTTTAGCCAACTAAGCTAGCTAGCCCGCCAATTGAGGTTTTCATAAAGGAGCTCATTCTGCACAGACTATTTAAATCAACCTGGGAGCCAAGGTCATTTTTGTAAAAGGACCAGGCTCCGTCAGGACCTGTACCCACTACCTTCCGATCTGCAGGCGAGTATCTAGCCACTTCACCGCATATACATGGGATCATCTTATACTTGGGGAAATATGGTATATATGCTTGTGCATACATGACAAACACAGATGCATACACGACAGACACAGGTGCATACATGACAGACACACATGCATAGATAGATGTAAAATTCAGTTTTGAATTTGTGTGTGTGTATGTTTTGTTTGAGTGTATGCTATGTATGTAAAATAGTGTATATTATGCATGTGTGTATGATGTAATGAAATCTTATTTCAGAGTCGATATGTTCAGTATTATGAACGACTAAAAAATGAGTTCAACCGACAACTGCCACCCAAAAAAGTCCTCAAGTTGACATCCATTACAATAACAGGAATTAACAGTAAGTAAATGTCACATTTCTGGTTACAATTGAGAGGATTGATTTCATGGCAATGGAAGTATTCCCATAAGCCCTAGTCTTTTGTTTTAGAAAAACCACTTGCTTGCAGGATCACACAAGCATGAACCCCATCATCGCTCTAGTGACAATCCATGGGAATGTACATAAAAATTGCACCTTTTAACCAAACAACGCAGTCTGAAACAAACTTATCACCTTTAGAGCCTGAGACAATTGGATTGACCACTTTGCTGTAATCTGGTAATCTGGTAATTTTAATTTCAGCTTCATAGCAAACGGGTCACCCCATCTTTGCTCCGCTCCTGTGCCAACGAAAAACACACAGAATGTTTATCACAGTCCCTTGTGGAAAGACAAACTACTGTCATTTATAACTATAATACTTTGTTGCAATACTGATCCTTAAATAGTTTAGATATAATCTGTATTCATTTCTCTTTAATTTGATGTACTGTATAACACTATACAAGCAATGCATTTTCTCCAGGAAAGTTTTAGCTTTGTCCTGTTAAAGTGAAAAAAAAAAAAAAACAAATTCAGCTCAGAATTAATTTTGTCCAAAGGCCAGAAACAAAAATGCCATCCTAAAAGAGTTAATGATCTAAATAAAGAATGCCACTAGATTTCCACCATGGTGATTGTTTATATGACTAATACTTACAAATAGCATTTTTTTTTTAGAAAATCAAAGCAATCTTTCCCTGTTGTGAATATGAACAAAGAAGGCACAAACAATAGATTTCAAATTTAATATATGGTGTGTTTAGTTGTATCTCGTCAGGTGCAGTTAGAAAGAATATTTGTTTTTGTTCTTAACTGATTAATCAATTGTTCTTGTTGTATGTACCTGTCAAGATGGAAGCCATCACAAGGCTCCTTGAAAAGACAAAATTACCAAAAAAGGGCATACCACCAACACTACCTCTTTCAAGCTATGCATTGATTCCTTGTTATTTAACAGGCTAGAGTGATGTAAATTTGATAGTCACTTATGCTTAGTGTACACAGGCACATACTAGTGACATCATTAACGGAATTCCCCACTCAGTTTATTTATTTTACATCTTGATTAATGGCAACAACTAATATTAGTTTTGATAAAACATAATTCCTGTTTTTTAAGAAACTGACACACCCATACTTGCTGCTAAAATAGCTGAGGGAAGACTTGGGACATTCAACCAGCTTATATTGTTTTAAGAGCCAGGTTGTAACTGGGTGCCTAGGGACACTGTTAGTATCATCAGAAACATTTATCCCAGTTTTCTCACTTGGATTTGGAGGTAGAGATTCAACAAATACCCATCACCGGGAAATCAGTGGGAAATAAACTGTCAACATGTGAGAAAAGCTGTGTCTAAAATGTGTTTGCAACTAAAGACAGACAACTTAAACTATAAATAAAAAATCAATAGAAAGAAAGGACAAAACATGCGCAGAAACAACTAAGAATTTAAATAAAACAACAAACCAATTTAACAAATTAAATATTTGCTTGTAATTAGGTACACCTTCTCTTTTCTTTCCTTTCTTTCTGGTGTACGTCTTAGTTTTAGTTTGTGTTATATTAGGTACTTTTTCTTAGCATCTTTGACTTCAGTAACTAACCAATGTATCAATCAAATCAATCAGGTGTTGCCTTTACAATGAAGGATGGCTGCAGTGGATTTCCAATACTCTCTTGTCTTGGTAGTACACTCTCTTGAACTGCTGTTTATCCATCTCTTGATGTTGTCCTCCAGCTTGTATCATTTTCTGCCTCTCACTGTCTTGCCTTCAATGTTTTGTTCCAGTATGGTTTTTAAAAGAGTGTTGTGTCTTTTAATGTGGCCAGAATCTCTCTTTTTTTTTTTAAATTCTTTCATCAGCTCTCTTTCATTCCCAGTCACTTGAGAATCTCTGTATTTGACTTTTTTTGTTTCCATAAAATAGACCTCAGGTCAATCGCATATCCTTTACAGGACATTGCAGAACCAACCCCAACAGCCCCTGGCTGTTGTGTGATTTTTCTAGGCAAATTTACGTCCAGTAGTTTGCCATTGCTTTCTGGACGGTCGGCTTTCTTAATTCCACTGTCAAAACCAACTCAAGGTGCATGGCCCACAGCTGGAATCGAACCCAGCATTACAAAGCGTTCGTATCGACTTAGCCACAGAGCCGACAAAATATGACCTACAGAAGTAAAAATATTAACCAGTATAACGCTTTTTTGGGGGGCCAATCTGAGAGATTAGAATGTTTTTTTATGATGATCTCAGGTAGATGCTTGCTTAAAACAGTTGCTGTTAGCAAATGTTAAATCTGTGCATGAAAAATGGAAATATAAATATGAATCAAAATGCCAGTATTTGGGTCATCACTTTATATGTCTGAAAGATTAGGATGACTTTTTATGATGATCCCAGGTACATGCTTGCTTAAAACACTTGCTGTTAGCATGTGTTTAATCTAGCTGTCAGTATTTGCTGCATAGGCATTATGAACATGATTTGTAATGCCGGGGTGCCAGGCTCAATACCAGCTTCAAGTAGTTTGGCAGCAGACCACCTTGCACTGGTTTCAACAGTGGTACTGAGAGCCAACGATGAAAGAAATGGCAAACTATTGAATACAAATTTGCTTCGCAAAACTACAACAGCCCCCACCTCAAAAGAAAGTTGGTTCTGCAATGTACTGTAAAGTACATGCAACAAATTTAGATATTAATCTATGCATCAAGATGGAAGCCATGTTGAATATTTGTGTATTTTCTTGGCTGTAGGTGTGGGCAATGGAGATGGTAGTGATTTATTTATGGAACTCAGACAAGATGGCCTGCCAATATATGAGTGCAACCTGGGCACCAAAATGAACTGTGAGGTAAAACATGTTTGATTGATTTTATTCAATTAGTTTTGTCTTTATGCTGTCATATATGCAATTGCTCCTTGGACAGCCAGAATGAGTAACATAATATATATTTTGAAAGAGGTCAGGGCCTAAAGACAACTTATCAAAAACATCAGAAGGGGGCTATCATCATTTTTGTGGCCATGTTATAATGAAGATGGCAACAGAAAAATGTTGTGACAGCTGGAAATATTTGTAGAAAGAGAGACAGAGGAAGAAAATTGTTGAAAGCCTTTTGTCATACTGTCCTCATGAGGGTTAGTAAACACATGAAATGATACATCCTGTTGAAGATCACAGGATATAGAGCGGCATGATCGCCACCCCAGTCAGCAAGACACTTGATGATGATGATGATCTGCTTCTTCTTATAGGCTTGTTGCTTGTTAAATCTTGTCTGACATTCTAGACCATCAGTCTGACACATTCCTGCTCTGTCCTCACATGCAGCGGCCATCTCAGTAGCTCTGTGCTCAACGTACCCAGTATAAGGTGTTTAACATATCTTCTTTATGTGCCCCACAAACTGTTTCTGCATGCTTGTCCTTGTTTAATACCCATTTCCAATAGGCGTCTCATTATCTCAGACTTTTTCATCTCAAAGTTTCTAGAAAGCAGCGCATTTAGTATGTCTGCCCTTCCCATACTTCTTCCTCCACCAACCAGTGCAGACACTCCCAGTCTGTCGGTTCTTTCAGATCCTTTCAGCCCAGCTTGTCACGCTGCATACAGCCAAAAGAATTTCTTGATGCAAGACCTCTGGATACTGTCAACCCATTTTAGTCGAAGTTTTGCAGTTTGGATCATTTACACAAACACATTGGGTCTGCTACTATCAATGTGAGAGTTACTTTCTGTTCTGGCAACCATGGAAGTACCCCTGTGACAGCTGCTGTCTCTATTGTCAAAACTGCATGCTTGACTTTTTTCTTATATTCAGTGTAATACCATATTACATAATGTAAATTCACTGTCTTCTGTGAACTATGTCTCGTACAGAGATTCTTAAATATCATAATCATAAACCTTCTTTAATTCTCTTTGGTCTCCAATGCCGCTCAACCACTCCAGCATTCATGGTGTCATAATGTACTTTTGTTGCCTCCTTCTTACAACTTGCTCAAATTCTAAGCTGAAACAGTTAACCAGTTCTCATTGTGAGCTGGCAGTAAACAAAAGGAAACAAACTGACCTCCCCCCCCCCCCCCCCCCTCCCCCCCCCCCCCCCCCCCCCCCCCCCCCCCCCCCCCCCCCTCCAGAACATTCAGTTGGTCATTACCTAGTTGTTAGTCAAGGTTTAATTGTTACTTCCAGGGAACCATCATGGTGTAGCAGTTAGGCACCCCCTGTGTATGGATCTGAAGGTCTAGGGTTCAAATCTGAATGGATTTTAAAAAAAAAAGAACTTTGACCCACAGATTTAAATGGATACCAGGCAAATTCCTGGAAAGTAAAAGTGGCCAGTGGGATGTTGACCACATCACCCACGGAGTGCCCTCTGTGACATATAAAGGCACAAGAGGACAATGAATGAATGAAGAATGGAAGGCTTTACAAAGTACTTCCCTGGAGTACAAAGGCAGGTAGGGATACTGAGATCCATGTATTGGTTGTAATCAAACAGGACATCTGGGAAGGCTAACCAACGATGAAAATACTGCGGCCATGCTGTAAAAGGACACAATACAGTTACCTCCTCAGTTGGGCAAAGAAGAAGAACAGCACATTAATAGTATTAAAACAGTATAATATGTGGAGTTACCTTCACATTTGTCCAGGATGTGCAGGTGTTGGTGACAATGAAAGACCTAATAGACTGGCTGGTTCTGCCATAGTTACAGATGACCAGCCTATGCATCACACCCTCATTGTTAAGGCACTTATAGAAGAAGAACAAATAAAGGATTTTAGAGGTGCCATGTTCACATCCCTGCTCAGAAACCGAGAACTGGGAGTAAAGATTAACACAGTCAAGCACAAAAGGGACAACAGATGTAGGAGAAGTCTTGTCAACCAGCACGCACAGGTCTGGCATAATTAACTGTGGGATGCTGATGTATCTAATCACTGGGTCCAGAGTGCAGTAGAGGGCTTTTTCTATATATATATATTATATATATAGAAAAGGTGCTTTAGACACCACAAAGTGGTTTTTATAGTACTACCAAAAATTATTATGCCTACAAAAGGGGCAGGTATCGTTCTGTACATAAATGGTACCAGCGAGGAGGAGCAGGGGCCGACCAACATAAAGATGGGCACAGGATATAAATGACTTCTCAAGTGTGAAAGAACACGAGGCGGGAGAGCTGGCGAGGGACAGAGTTTCTTTCAGGCAGACCGTGATGAGAGCAACATTCTGCAAAGGACCTGCTACATAATAATGATGATGATGATGATCGTTCTGTACCACCTGAAAAAAAAAGAAAACAAGCCCTGGTGCCATGAAGACAACTCAACTCATATCACATAAAAGTATATAAAACACTCTTAGTGTGTCATTACTACCATCATGTAATAAACTCATGTGCTTTATATACATCACAGGTTGAGAAGTTCCCAAATGATGATGTACTGCTCATCAAATTGCAGAATACACCCAACATTCAAGGGGATATCAAAATTATGTTCAAAACACACAGTGTAAGATCAGATTCTTTAACACTTCTTTATTTTCTGTGAATGTTGCATACCTCATTATCGACATCATCATCATCATCAACATCATCAATCAACAGGTTACAGAATGTTACTCTCGTCACGGCACAACTAAAAGTCTCTTTTTTTTTCTCTAGCCAAATCTCCTCCAGCTGTTAGTGCTTTCATAGCCAATGAATCTTCAACGTAATGTGTCCACCTTCGCAGAAGTCTAACTTTGCCTCATTTTCCAGAAACTGTGCCACATATCACCATTCTCGTCAGGCCACCCTGACATTGAATATGACCCCAATACTTTAGCTTTGAGGGCAGGATGCTGTTTATGATCTCCTCCTCCATGCTCAGATTACATACGATTTCTGTGTTTTTCTTCTTCTTGGTTAAGGTTTAAACAATGGATACAGTCGAACTCCTTAGCACTGTTGAGGATTCTGAAATACTTTAGGTAATTTTTAAACTTCAAATTTGGCCTGGCTGTAGCATTTCAGTTCAAAAGCTCTAATGTTTTCTTTAGGGTTAAGTTAGAGTCCCTAACTCACATTCATAAGTTGCCAGTTGCATACATAGGTCAAGAGAAAGAATTAGACTCGCTCAGCTGTCAACAACTCAAGCAAGCAAAAGACCTCAAGTATCTAGGGAGCATAATATCATCTATTGGAAACACGGAAGCAGAGATGGAGCACAGATGTAATGAAGCAAATCAATTCATCAGAATTGCAGAACAAACATGTAACAATTGACACCACATAATATTTACCAACATTTTTGTTACCAGTACTAAATATGGACATTAAGAAAGAACAAAAGTTTAAAAGATATAGAAACAGAAATGAAGTATCTAGGCTAAATCCTAAATGTAACTAGAAGAGACAGGATCAGAAATGACGATATCAGGAAAAGAGTTGAGATTGAAACTTTACTAAACTACATCAAGAGAATACAGATCAAATGGTTCATGTATTTGTCAAGACTACAACCAGGATATCCACCACAGAGAGCTCTATCACTTAGATACTATGGAATCAGAGCTCAAAGTCGATCATGTGAGCGATGGATGGATGGAATATCTGAGGCCTTAAATACCAACATCAATGCAGCACATAACAAGGCTCACACCTGATTCCTCTTTAAAATCTAACACTGAAAGGCTGAAGAGGACTCGAAAAGAAAAAAGATGAAGAATGTTGCATAACTTCTATTTCTATAAATGTCCCTAATAACTGCTTTATTTTCTTTAAGGTTTTATAACTGTCCTCTTTTTTTAAAATGAAAATTTCATTGCTGTCCTTTATTTTCCTGGACAGTTCCATAACTGTCTTTTATTTTCTGTGACAAAGGAGCGGCTGGTGAGAGTTTACATTGTCAGGCTCTCATGTGAGAGTCCCGGGTTCGACCCCCAGTAAGGTGACAGAGTTTTTGTGTTGGGGCAAAATTAAACATCCTAACCTGCACAGTCCGTGGTGACAGCACGAGCCATGCAACCTTAAATCCTCAGGCTCATGACCCCCTGTCTATACCACGCTAAAAAGTGATAAATACAGACAATAGTGACAGTTCCATAACTGCCCTTTAATTTCTGGGAAAGTTTCAATCCTGTCCTTCAATTTATGGGACAGTTCCAATCCTGTCCTTTAATTTATGGGACAGTTCCAATACTGTCCTTTAATTTATGGGACAGTTCCAATACTGTCCTTTAATTTATGGGACAGTTCCAATACTGTCCTTTAATTTCTGGGAAAGTTCCAATCCTGTCCTTATTTATGGGACAGTTCCAATCCTGTCCTTTAATTTATGGGACAGTTCCAGTACTGTCCTTTAATTTCTGCTGAAGTTTCATAGCTGTCCTTAATTGTTTTATGAATGCTTAGCAGCTCAAGCAGGACAAAAGAAGAAAGTAAATAGCAAGTATGATTACAGAATATTGTCAACGGATTCACTGCTGCTTATTTTTCAGAAACATATACCCATTGGGTATGACAAGTGCCCGTTTTACTTCTGGTTCTACACATCTTTCATTGAGGACAATCAGTAAGTTTGTTTTGTTTTCTAATGTTTGTTGTTATAAAAATAATGTATTTTTAGTTTATCATTATTATACTCTTTAAAGGGAGTCGCCGTGGCCGAGCGGCTAGACGCTCGCCGCGGATCAGAAGGTCGTGGGTTCGCTCCCTGGCGGAGCCAGACTTTTTTAAAAAAATGACCTTGGCTCCCAGGTCGACCCAACCTTGAGTGGGTACCGGGTACAGTCCCGGGAAAGTGAAGGCGGCCGGCGTGATACTGACCACATCACCCATCTTGTGCCGATTGGTCTATACAAAATATAGGTCTAGCCCTATATGCCCTATACACCTTAAGGCATGGAAAAGGGTCCTTTACTTTTTGTTTTACTTTTATACTCTGTAAAATAATTCAAGGAACAGAGAGGACATAAAAAATACTATATGAAAGACATCTCACACTGAAGACCTCATACAGGAGGATACTGATTTCTTCTTGGCTGGAAGTCTGGGGTGAGGGGTGAGTTGAGGATGGGGTGAGTTAGGATAGGACAACAAGGACTTGACTTGAGTTAAGGACATGGGGGAGTTATAGGACAACTTGGTTGATGTTGAGGATAGGACAACTTGAGTTAAGGGGAGTACATGGGGTGAGTTGAGGATAGGACAACTTGAGTTAAGGAAAGGACATGGGGTGAGTTGAGGATAGGACAACTAGAATTGAGGGGAGGACATGGGGTGAGTTGGGGAAAGGACAACTTGAATTGAGGGGAGGACATGTGGTGAGTTGAGGAGAGGACAACTTGAATTGAGAGGAGGACATGGAGTGAGTTGAGGATAGGACAACTAGAATTGAGGGGAGGACATGGGGTGAGTTGAGGATAGGACAACTTGAATTGAGGGGAGGACATGGGGTGAGCTGAGGGTAGGACAACTTGAATTGAGGGGAGGACATGGGGTGTGTTGAGGGTAGGACAACTAGAATTGAGGGGAGGACAGTTGAGGGTAGGGTGAGTGACATGGGGTGAGTTGAGGATAGCTAGAATTGAGGGGAGGACATGGGGGTGAGAATAGTTGAATTGAGAGGAGGACATGGGGTGAGTTGAGGATAGGACAACTTGAGTTGAGGGGAGGACATGGGGTGAGTTGAGGGGAGGATATGGGGTGAGTTGAGGATAGGACAATTTGATTTGAATTGGTTAAAGCCTTATGCTACACTGAGTGATACAATGCAGAAGAAAGAAGAACATGAAGAAGATCAAAGAAGAAAAAAATTAGTAACATTACTGGATTCAGTGTGGGTATGGTTTCTTTAAAAGGATGTTGAGGAAATTGTGACTTTTCTTAACATTTGTGGGTCTTGCTAGTGACAATCACCATCGCCATGGACTGTAAGCCCCATGCCTTCTCATAGTGCAATATAACATAACGTCTGGAAAGACTGGAAAGGTGCCAATCAGTGGAAGAAATATAATGAATGATACAGAGTAAAAGAGAAGACCATTTAAAACATGCAACACAGCATCAAAAACAGCCTTAAAAAAATGAAGATCAACTTATGCAGTGTATCAAAAAGAGCACACACAAAAATCCTTGCATCTGCTCCCGACATTTCAAAGATGTAAATGGAGGAAGAGAAGCAGAAGACACCGAAGATGGAATAAAAACGTTTATCTTTTTGCCATTAATGCAGTCTGTTCCTACTATTCCCATGTATCACATAGTATCTTTGTTGTACATTTCTGCCAGGTTGTACATTCCCAGGGATGACCTGGACAATCCTCACAAGAAAAAGACACACCACGTCTTTCGGGAAAATTTTGGGGTTGAGCTTCATTTTGAAAATGCGACAGATGTGTGATGTGATAGTGTGAAGTTATAAGTATTTGATATGTTAGACATATGAGAAGTGATAATTTTTTGATATGTTAGACATATGAGAAGTGATAAGTATTTGATATGTTAGACATATGAGAAGTGATAAGTATTTGATATGTTAGACATATGAGAAGTGATAAGTATTTGATATGTTAGACATAAGATGGAAAACTACTAGTCCCATATTGTTTTGTTTCAGAAATAGTGTTGTTGGGGAATGTAGTTTCCTTTTTTTTTTTCCTTTCTTTGTAGTTTTGTTTTGTTCTGTGGAAACATTTCAGGTTTTGTGGGGACAGAAAGCATTTTGTTCTGTGTCTGTTTTTCACTTCATAATTTTTGGAAGAATAATGATGCTTCATTGTTTAACCTGTTGGTTTTGGAATGTGCAATTATATTAAATTAAAATATTAGTTCTGTATGTGTGGTGATGTTTTCTAAGTTTAACATACTGTGTAATGCCATATTGATGCTTTTTTTATTTAAAATCTTAATTATCAAATATTTAATGTGTTTCTTTGTTGAACATTTTTTTCTTTTTGTGATATTTCAATGTTTCACTTCTAAACTAGGGAAGGAAAGTATTTATGACTAATTCCATGTGTTTGGGATAGAAAGCCAGTATTCACGGGTGTAACTTTTATGAAACAATTTGTTTCATTTCTTTCTAGTTACAATTTTTATGTATTCCCCCATAGCCATACATACTTGCATGATACTTATTATATATATATATTTTTGAAACAGTCTGGAAATAGCTTGCATTTTATAATTGAACTCTTCAGTCCCAGAAGATCACACATAAATATGCCCAAAGAGAAGAGTGACCATCATGAAAGAGAGTCGGTTTATTACATTTACAGTGGCAACATTATGTGTGCTGCAAAACAAAAATCTTGCCATTTTTCTTTCTGTTGAAACAGAGATAGAGGAAGATAATGTGAGAAGATTCTTGACAGTCTTTTGGCATGGCATAGAGGGGTGTTAACACAGAAACTGATACATGTAATTGTAAATCGCAGATTGTGGAGAAGCATGATCACCCACGCTGGTCGGCAGGGCACTTGATGATGTTGATGATATTTCTTCAGTCTCCTCAGACTTTTTTTTCTTAGCATCCTATGGCAGTAAACTCTGGTGGAAAGTCCTGGCTGTTCATCTATTTCTGGATTTTGGTCTTGTTCCAGGACTCGACAGATCTTGTTTTGGTGTGTGCAGACTTTTGGTTCCTCACCTATGAGGCAAATGCACTCTGACTCTGAAGCTCCTTGTTGGTGAACCTGTTTCTAGGATGACCACAGTAAAGTGTAGGTATGTTTCGACCTGCACAATCAAACCTGGTCCTGGTGCAGCAGCTCTGCATCCTGTAAGCTCGGACTATATGTGAAAGAATAGAATTATTTACACATGGGTGGAGTTTCAAATACAGAGTCTATGGCTGATCATATGTGGTGTGATTCTTGGGACAGAAAAATTGGAAATTTGTAAGATGAGAGATAGAGAGAGAGAGAGAGAGAGAGAGAGAGAGAGAGAGAGAGAGAGAGAGAGAGAGAGAGAGAGAGAGAGAGAGAGAGAGAGAGAGCAAACGAAAGAACGAAAACATTTTATTTCAAAGGGTTACAAATTGAGCATGCGGGCCCATCTTACATTCGGCTCTTCTAAACACCCATCTTTCACACAGCTGTTGTATTTTTTAATCAATAAAGCATGTTATGTTCATATAATAATATGCATATTATGAATATCAAGCAAAAACACAAAAGTATAGGTGGTAAAATATCTGTGCACCCTCATGTATGCACACGCACACACACATACACACCCACATACACAGCGAACCCCTCACTAACTTACATTTACTTATATGCACCCACATTCACATGTACATCCACATACATAGCTACATACACCCACACCCATACCCGCACACACACAGATGTACACACACACACACACACATACTCAAACACACACACACATACACACACTCATACACACAGTGTAACACACACAGACACACTCTCACAAACACACACACTCAAAGACACACACACACAGACACATACACACAAACACCACATACACATATGCAGCTGCACATTTCATCAATTTTGAAGAAAAAAACTGACCTAAAAAGAGAGAGAGAGAGAGTCGTTGAGAGAGAGAAAGAAAGAGAGAGAGAGAGAGAGATGTCATATATCAGGAGTCAGCAACATTTCTGTAGTGTTGTGCTCAGGGATTTCTTTCCTCCAGATAAAAGTGCTAGTACTTACCACAAAGCGTCTGTTTAAAGTAGCATCCACACTTTTAACATATCCTCTGATGAACCCTCATCTACTCTAGACCCCTTAATTTTCGTATCCACATCATACACATGAATGAGGTCCCTTACCAGTCCTGACTCCACAAATTTAACAATGGTTCAAGTGAACTTAGCACACGGTTTTTGCACAAGCTAACAGACTTCAAGGTTGCAGATTGGTGGATTTCAGCTGGATTAAATTGTCCACACATTTGTTTTTGAATGTGGATTAGTTGTCAATTTTGAAAAAAAAAAAAAATCTGGCCTTTAAAAAACATGTGCTGATACTCCTTACCATTGTGTGCCACCATAAAAAATACCTGGGTATGCCAGGGTTATGTTGTAAAGTTACTCACCATGCCAAATGAAGTCTACATTGGTTTTTAATACAATAATTACCAAAACAAAATCATGGGATCATTATTATTAAATATTAGAAAGAAGCAGTCATATTTTATTTGTGGTCACATTATGAGAAGAAGAAAACTGAAACATGTTTTGACAACTGGAAAGATTTGTAAAAAGAGAGATAAAGGAAGACAAGGTGAGAAGATGGTGACAGCTTTTTGTCATGGCATGCAGGGATGTCAGCACACAAACCGATATAAGCTGTTGGAGATCGCAAGCTGTGCAGAGGCATGATCACCCATGCTAGCTGGCATAGCATTTGATGATGATGATGATTCAAAGTTCTAAATTCACACACATTAATCAGAAATACATTCCTCTGTTCTCTTATTGTAAATGGTGCCATTTAAATTTACACTATTTGTGTTATTATTATTATAATTGTTGTATCCCAGCATTTTTCAGTATGCATTGCATGTTTACATGTCTTTTACAAAACTCTGAGAATGCTCTGTTACTTAATGTAACTGATGGTATGAACTCGGTCTGTGTTTCCAATCTGATGGTCCGGGGACACCTGGAGACACCTGGGGTTCAGCAGAACACCTTTAAGGAGTCCATGATATCATTTACTGAACACCCTCAACAATAAATATTTGAGATCAGAGACTTCCTACCATGTGGTGAAAATGGGGTAACAGCAGTCAAGATAATACCAAAAATGAATCCAGTGAAGTGTGACTAAAAAAAGCTTATGCTTTCACTTTGGAAAATCACCTCATTCATAGTCTAGGTGTTCTAAGCCCAGGAGGTATCAATGTTCAGTATACTTTCATCTTGACAGTTTTACCAAGTTATATTATTTTTAATTATATTTTTAATATTAATTTTATTTTATTTTTTTTTTTTTTATATTTTTTTTTTTTTCTGTTCACCAGCTGTACACTCTGGCGTAAAGTTCTGGTTGTTCGTCCACTTCTGGACTGCAGTCATGCTCCAGAACCTGAGTGTTACATGTGCATCAGTTTTACAGATCTGATTCAATTGAATGCAGACTGCTGGTTCCTTGCCTCTCAGGCAGATGCACTCCGACTTCAAAGGAAGCTCCCCAGTTAGTCGACTCTTACGACATGCTTTTGGGGAGGCAGTGGGTCTATTCTTGTTTTCCCCACAATAGGGCCCCGGAACCCACATGGGGGTTTATTTTATTATATTTCATATTATTATTTTATCTCTTATCAGTACCACTTCTGGATCATTCACATTTGTATTTCTACTATTCTTTTATTCCTACTATTATTTTTATCTTATAACTTTTACTTTTATGACTTTTTTTTCTAGCCTTCCTTTATTCTGTTTTATTTAATTCATTCCGCATAACCTTTTTATAGTTTCTCAGGTGACCCCCTGGTAGGTGCTTGTGGTTGAAGTACTTTCCCCTTTTTTATTGTTCTGTAGTTAGTTCATTTTAAGAAAGGCCCCTACTAAAACATCAATTTGAGTGTTTTTTGTGCGTTATTCTGCTTCCCCATTTCATTAGTTACAGTTCACTGGATTAAATTCTAACATGTACAGATGTTCTCCTTTTAAGCACGTGCTCATACATTTCATATTAAATCAAATATATTATTACATTAATTTGCCATAATAATAATAAGAATAAGAGAATGATGATGATAATAATTTTCAACATTTGTTTTCCTATTATTATTATTATGCAGTTAAAACAAGGTTCAAGTCCCAGTCAAGTATATTATTATATTTATTTGCCATTCAATACCCAATAATAATATTAATAATAATTATTATTGCACATTTCAACAAGGTTTAAGTTAAGCCTCTTTGAAATCAGTAGGCAGCTGATAGGCCATATGATCAACATCACGATGACTGCCTTTAAATAAATCTACCCCAGTGTGGATTTAAACTCTAAACCATTTGGTTAGAGGGTAAATGTCTAGTTACTACGCTGTTGCAGCTCGCAAGAAGACAAAATGCAAGGACACTAGAAGACCAGAGAGTTGGTCAGCCATTTTCCAGCTAATCTCTTACAGCCTTATTTTCTCAGAAGAACATTGAAAAGACCTACCCTCTCTATTTTACTTTGTGTGCTATTGCTATCTAGTCTTTTTACTTCTACCGCCTTTACCTCCCATAACCATTCCATTGCCAAACAACCCTCTTTATCTTTTTCTTGTTTTGACTTAACGCTAGGCGGTAGTAACTCTTTATGTGTTTCTATGTTATCTTCTTCTTTAAAGTATTGACCGTGTGTCCCGTTTACATTTACAGCATTTACTTCGTTAGTGTAGTTTTTATTCAACTGTTTCCTGGGA